TCCTGTAAGGGTTCCTTTGAAGGAACCCCTTAAGGTTCCTGTGAGGCTTCCTGTAAAGGAACTCTTGTAATATCCCGAACCCTTGTAGTAACTGTAGTACCCTTACAGGAACCCTTTGAGGGCTCCTTTCAGGGCTACAGTTCAGCGCTTCCTTTGAGGGTTCGGTGAAGGGTTCCGCTACGGGTTCCTAGGAAGGGTACTATGTGGCCTTGGGCTTAGGCTTTAGTTTGTAGGGTCTCGGGTTCAGGGTCTGGGGTTTTAAGGTTTAGGGTTTAGGGTTTGGTGTTTGTGGGGGTTTGTGCGTGGGGGCTTGGGGGTGGGACCCAAGTCACCGATTAAGTCAAGTGTTACAGGGCCATACAAGGCATGAGGCTCGTATGAAGGTCTTGCAATGTCACTTGTTGGCTTTCTATCCTCCAACCTTCGCAAAATTCCTACAACCCCCAAGTCAACCAGCCTAAACCAAACCAAACTCAAACTTCGGAAGTGCCAGAAAGCGAGATGTCGGCGAGGCACCGTCATCGCAGGCGCCCGCTGGTGGTGCTTGGGAGGGGTGCTGAGTCTCTGCTTTGAGTCTGAGCGGCAGCAAGGAAGACGAACCTTGAGAACTCCTCTCCTAGCCTCTCCGAAACACTCCGATTCTAGAGGCCCTTATAACTAGAATAGGGTCTGTAGGGTATATTTTGCTAGAATTATAGAAGAGAACCCCCAAACTAGTATTCGTGACTATTTCAGCCTCTATATTACAGACCTCGAAGGCCCCAAACTCCCGAAAGCTTAATACCCAACCCCTTCAACCCGAAAGCCCAAAAAACAAAACCTGGCTAACTACAGGGTGTCTGCAACGGTCACCTGTTGTAGCTATACAAGGGATCCATAAAGTAATCCTGCAAGGAATCCAGGTTCAGGAATTTTACAACCTGCAGCCCAACCTCGAGTACAGAAAAAGCTGAAGCCACAACTAAGTGCCTCTCGATCGCTGACCGATTTGGGGGATTTAGGGCTAAACTTCAAAACCCTAAACCACTGCATCCCTAAATCTCTGAACCTCTAAGTGCCCGATTCCTGATCCTCAAGCACTCGTTTGAACCAGAAAAAAAAACAAAATCGTAAGCCGAATTAGAGCTCACCCGAACTCCCCTAGTTACAGTAAGGCTGTGCTTTTCTCCGCGGTTCTTCGGAACTGCAGGTGCTCATGCATCTGAGAAGAGCTAGGTCTCCTCGTGATACATCCGGCGAAAGCGCATCTGAACCCTAAACCCTAAACCCTAAACCCAAACCCTAAACCCTCAACCCAGGGTCTTGCGGCAATAGGGTTTAGGGTTTAGGGTTTAGGCCCATTCATCTTCACCTGACGAGCTTACACATCATGTCTGCTGGAATGAACACATCAACATGCTCGAAAGGACACCCAACACGGCATGGCGGTAGGCGTCTCGAACGGTAGCTTTTCTTCCCCCCGCCAGAACTCCGAACCAGCTTGCATAAACAACAGCGTTACCTCAAGTCTGACAACCCGAATGCTTGCTACGATGCCGACCTCTTGTTTCCAGGGCTCAGACGACACCACCACCCCAAAAGAATCCTCACTCCGCAACCTTAAGTCTCTAAATTACCCAGATTGCGCCTGCCGGGGGTGAAACTGACATGAAAATGGCCCTGTACCGTTCTTCGGATTTCGGGGCTGACGGAGATCTGGGTTGAGGGCTTCGGGCTCCGGGGGGTGTAGGGGTGAGGGCTGAGGGGCTCGAGGTCAAAGGCCAGCTACCCGGTTGCTCTGCGCGCTCCGCGGATGCCAGGCAGCGGGCAAGACCGAGCCTGTCTGGTAGAAGTTGAGGTTTGAGGATTTGGGGGTTTTGGGGCTTTCGGGTTCAGGGCTCAGGGGTCAAAAGTGAACCAGCTCAAACCCTCAGAACCCGAAGATGCCAAAAACCCCAAAACTCTAGAACCCCGGAGACACAACCCCTGTTCGGCCTCTGCTAAGACCCCTTTCACGATCCAAAGCCCAGGTCCTTGCCTCGTCACCGAACCTGCTGCGACTGCTGCTTGTCGGGACGGGAGGTGTCCTGCGACCCCAAGACTTCCCCTGTTTCGGGGCCCTTGCTGGGGGTGTCACGGAGACGCCGATTTTTGGTGCAAAACCCAAGGTTGCGACAAGGGGAGCGGCTGTGCACGAAGAACTGTAAACTCCAAATCCTGAAGGCGTTAAGCTAAACCCTCCAACCAAGACGCCGCAACACAATGCTGTCATGCTGCGAGGATAAATCCTTTTAGCTCCCGGCACCACACCCACATCAATTCACCAATGCATGCATGCCTACACACACACTGCACACATGCATACATGCATGCATGCATGCATGCATAAATTCCTGCCTACTACCTACCCACCTACCTGCCTACTTACTTACTTACTTAGCTAGGTAGCTAGTTAGTTGGTTAGCTATTAGTTAGTCAGTCAGTTACCGACATGCTAACTTGGATACTTACTTAATGACTTACTTGCTTGCTTACTTATTTAATTACTTACTCACTCACTCACGTACCTACTTACTCAGTTACTTACTTAGTTACTTACTTACTTACTTACTTACTTACTTACTTACTTAGTCATTTACCTTGCTTGCTTATTGACATATATACACAGACAGACAGACAGACAGACAGACAGACAGACAGACAGACAGACAGACAGACAGACAGACAGACAGACAGACAGACAGACAGACAGACAGACAGACAGACAGACATGCAAACAGACCATACCGACTACACAGACAAACCTACAGAGACCCGGACAGACAGGTAGGTAGGCAGGCAGGCATGCATGCGTAGGTAGGTAGGTAGGCAGGCAGGCAGGCAGGCAGGTAGGTAGGTAGGTAGGTAGGTGCTGTATGAACCCTCCAAGATAAGTCGCCATTTCTGCAGGAGAATGACCTGTCAGTGGAAATGTCCAGCTGCGGAGGTTGCTCCTGTTGCTCTCGGAAGGCCGCTAACAGTCTCCCAGTATATGGGATTGTCGTGAGTATACAACAACATACCCACAACTCCAAAGCCCCATGTTGGGATTTCGAGATAATTTGGGGTCTGGGGATTTGGGTCCTATTCTTCTACCATCTACCGTGTAGCCGAACGAGAGAGACTGGCCGATCGGATGCACAGAGAAAAGCAAGAACCTCTCGCGCAAGCCTGAGCTGGCTCTTGGCAGCGGCAGGATGTGTAAGTTCTTTCTTGTTGTGTAGTTTCCTCTGGGCGGTTCCGGCTTATGCATCGGTGCAACGGCACTTCATCCCACTCTCTCACAGAGTCGAGCCCTCGCGCGCCCCGTTCATGTTCACGCTTGTATTTCGGAGACGGCCCGAAGCCGACGTCGTGTTCCTGAGCTCTAAACCCTCAGCCTTACCTCTAGTCTGCATTGAAGTTCCTTTTTTGGTTTAGCCAGTTATATGTCAAGGATTCTATAAGGTATCCCCAGAAAGGAACTACAATGGAGACTATGGGTACACCCCAGCAGTCGAATTTCAGAGCCGATAGGCTGGAAATCGGTCGGCTGAAGCTTCCCCCAAGCGCCGCTACAATAATCAATGATCAGGACCCACAAAGCAGTCCCTAACCCTCCAGGTACCTACTATATAGGGCCTTAGGGGCTCTAGTACCCTATATAGTAGGTACCTGGGGGGTTAGGGAGTAGGTTATGACACCGTCATGCAAAGTAAAGTTTAATCACAACTCTTCAGCCGGAAGGTTATTGGATCTGCAGATCTCGCATAGCCGAGTTCCTCTTCCCACGTTCCCTTTACAAAACTTAAAACCCTAAACCCTAAGCCCTAAACCCTAAACCCAGTCTT